AGGGGTTCTTACTGACGGCGGGGACGCATAGTGCTGTGGGGTCGTCTGTTTGTTGGCGTTTTGGGTGCGTGTGTCTTTGTGTGGCTGGCCGTGACATACAGATGGGCAAGTTCTTCAGGGGAGAAGCCTAACAAAAAGGGTAAGAAACGAACGGAAGGGGGAGTGGAGTGGTCAGTACAACCGGTTTTCCCTATCCCCTTTTTCCAGCTGATGCAGCTCTACAGAGGATTTAGAGGGCATCTAAAAGAAATTTTAAAATGTCTTGAGGGCTTTGAAGATAAACGAGAAATGAAAAGAAATTCTTAACAGCCGTCATATTAATCGTGGGAGATTATGGATTTAATGGTGATGGTTTTCTTGGGCGGCAGCGTGATGTGAGGTTTGAGCAGTGGTGGCAGCGGCGGTGTTGCTGCTCCGTACACATGACAGACGTGTTTATGTTTTTCTTTTCTGAGATTTTTCCCATTGGATGCGGGGAGGGAGGGCATGTCGGGTGTTTGATGGTTTTTGGCTGTGGCGCACATTTGTGGAGGATGGGATGTGGAAGAGAGAACGTATACGAGGAGCAGGAATGGAAAAGGTGAGATGGGTGGCTGAGGCGGTGTTGACGAGCTCCACCTTTTTTTTTCTCTTTTCTTTTCTGTGCGGCGGTGTTGATCGGGGAGTTGGGAAGCGCACGGGGGAAAGAGAAGGTGTTTGTGTTGTGGCGGATGGCGGCATGTGCTGCTTTTTGTCTTCGACGGTGGAGGATGGCGGCGGTGGTGTCGTCATCACGGCTGTTTGTCAGGGTGAGTGTATGTCCGTTTATGTTGCTGGCGGGGCGAGAGGAAACATACGGGATGTGATTCTCCCTCTCCCCTTGTGACTTTGCACGCACCTCCTTGTGAGTGCGTGGGAATGTGGGAATGTGTTGTCACCGGTGCGTCGTCGTCTCTGTGAAGAATTCTCATCGCGGGGGCTTGCGATCTGCTGTTGTCTTTGTTGCTCTTCTTGGTTTTAATGGTTTCTTCCTTTTTTTTTTTTTTTTTATTGTTGCATTGTACACGACGAGCACACACGAGCAAAAAATTCTGAGGAACCGCTTAGGGGTGGGGGGAGCAACGGCGATCATAATAATTTAAATTGAAGAGAACAACCACACATCCCCACGCCCTTTACGTACGGTAGCGGCAGGAACACGTTTCTTTGCGGGCTTTATTTGAAGCATTATTATTATTATTATTATTATTATTATTATTATTATTATTATTATTAATTATTATTTTTCGTTTGTCTGTTGAGAAAAGGGGTTGTTGTTGTCGTTTTTTTTTTTTTAAGTACTTTTGTCTGAAAAGAAAAATACACAGAAAACAACACCACCACCAACAACAAAAAGATGGTGTGTTATCGCTGTGGCGGCGTGGGTCATACAAGCCGCGACTGCTCAAGGCCTGTCAATGAAAGCCTTTGTTTCCGCTGCGGCAAACCTGGCCACATGAGTAAGGACTGCGCCAGTGACATCGACGTAAAAAATGCGCCCTGCTTTTTTTGCCAGCAGGCCGGCCACAGGGCCAACAACTGCCCGCTCGCACCGCCGGAAGCACGGCAGCCGTGCTACAGGTGTGGAGAGGAGGGCCACATCTCCCGCGACTGCACGAATCCCCGCCTGCCACGTTCAGAGCAGTCATGCTTTCACTGCCACAAGACAGGCCACTACGCCCGCGAGTGCCCGGAAGTGATTGAAAACCTGAAGTGCAACAGCTGCGGCGTGACTGGCCACATTGCAAGGCGGTGCCCGGAACGGATAAGGACGGCGAGAGCGTTTTATCCGTGCTTTCGCTGCGGCATGCAGGGCCACGTTGCTCGCAACTGCCCGAACACGCGTTTGCCGTATGAGGAGCAGCTTTGTTACGTCTGCGGGGAGAAGGGCCACCTGGCACGCGACTGCAAGTCCGAGGCCCCGCTAGTCGCATAATTTTGCAGCCCCATTTCCCGAAACTAAGAGAAAAACACATGCGTGCTTGCCTGAAAGAAAAAAAAAAA